GTATTTTAGGCACAACATTGACAAAGACCTAGCATTACTTTAACTACTAGGGAAACCATCACTAGACTCCCATGTTAGTGAGAGAGCTTCTATGACAGATCTCATAAATATGTTAGGCTGGAGGTTGTACCAACTCTTTGGCACAGTGGCAAGCTTGCAGGGTTGGAGTGAACTTCAGGTCACTGCCGGTACTAAAGCTTCCTAGAGCAAAGTGTCTCACAAGATCATTCTTAAAGATTACTATCAAATATCCTTCAGATAAGAATGAGAAAGAGGACAGAGTGACTGGGGTGATAGAAAAGGAAATGAAAATAAGTGGAAATAGCCAGAGTCCAAAAGACTAAGGTATGGAAACAGCAATGTGTACGTTTCTCTGAAAATTAATCGTTTTCAAATGATAACTTGTATTAACTGCCTCCCGTCCTTTCAATAATGCATATACCAGGTCTACAATATTAAAGAATTTGAACAGCAAGCAAAATATTTCTTTACAAGCATATTGATTAGATACATAATGTCACACAAATCAAAAGCCTTTTTAAAGAACTGTTATAAATATTTGATGTTGTCAAAAGAGACAACATTAAGGCCTCCTTTTCCCTATTAAGACCGGAACACAGGATCTCTGGGATACAATTATCAGTTTGTCAGTGAAAAACAATAATCTCAGTACTTGTTTTTATCTTGTAAGCTTTAATGCAGTCTGGGTTTTCCTATTCCAGTAGGTAAATATCCGGCAATGTGAATTCAAGATTCAATACAAACTGACCTTCAACCAATCAGCCATAACAATAACAGCAGGATCTGTGATTGTACTGAGTAATTCCTTTGTGGCTCTTTTCTTTTCTTCTCGGTAATTTTTCTTTTGTACCTATTTTACAGAAAAAGAAAAATTAATAATTTTTAGTGATGGGCAATTTCTTTTCAAATTTTTTAGATTTACAGAACGTAGAGTATAAAATTTTAAGCCTCTTTTAGAATTTTAGCATCTTAAGATAAAAAAAACGATTTTTTAATTTTGTTTTGTTTTAAGAGCTGGTAGGAATTTTTAGAGGTTAGAATCTAGTTTTTCTGATCACTAGTCCAGTTCGCAGTATCTTTTTAAAGAATTTTACCTTTTTTATTTTATTTTATTTTTTAATTTTTATTTATTTATTG